GGCACAAGCGCTTTTTGCGCCACGTCAAGGCTATGGTCTTTGAACTGCGCTGGGGATGCCCCATGCCTCATTGTAACCACCTTTCACAAGCCATGAGCCCCCAGCATTCCGGAAAAACGAATCTGGTGCTTCAAAAGCCTTATTGAATCGGTGCAATCCATACCCGTCCAAAGCTGGATGAGAGATGAAAAGTTAGCGACGTCGTCTCGGTGACCACATTGTGACGAAGCGGAAAGTTGCATTTGCATGTGTCTGGGGATCGCGGAAAGCTAGTGTCTGGAAATTGAAAATTTCGCACAAGAGGCGCGAGACGAAGTTAAAGAAAGAGCATTGAAGTCGTTCATGACTCATTGAAATGACTATGCAGATTCTTCAAGTTGCTCTCTGGTGTGCCTCCCATAAACTTGAAACGAAAGTTCGCCGGGGAAGGCTTTTACGGTTGGCGAAGCTTACACGGTCTATTACTCGGCGTAAAGGGCTTGATGCTTGGCAGGGCCCCGCTGGCGGCTCTGACAGGCTTGCGTTCTCGCTGGTCTACACGGGTCTACGCAAGGGGCTCGAACTTTCTAAGGGCTTTCAGGTATCGGTTTCACTGTTGGCGGCCCCGCTCGGCCAGGAACTCTTAGAACTTTGAGTCATAAGTTGCGTGGGATTTGTTAAAGCGAAGCTCTTCTTTAGGTATTGCTTGACGATTGCAGAAAAAAAACACCAAAGCCAGGCTGCAAAAAGCCCTTTCCCCGGACCTACAACACAGCCTGCAACGCCCGAAAACCATCTTCCTTGACCACACCAAACTCGAAGCACCAAACCTCAAGAAACGCTTGATGCTAGGCTATGCCTTATCTTCATTCCTGTGACTGAAAGGGACAATGCTGCACAAAAAACAACAATCATGTGCTCAAACTTGGTTCCATCGGATGGAAACACTGAACTAACTTCGAATACATACATCAGCAAAATGCTCCCTTCCCAACACTGCAACTTTAAGTCCCTTGCATATGGGTTTTGGGCACTGGGTGGGGATGGTCGAAGTGGCATTTTTTACAACTGCGCTTCTTCAAAATAGGAAACAACAGGATCATGATGTCCAGGGCGATCTTGTTTGGCTGGACTGTCGCAGCGGCTTTGTGTCGAATCAGGTCTCCATTCCTCAGAGGCACACATCGCGCTGCCATGCACCATATCACATGGTCATTTCTTTAATGTAAACCGCGGTCACTATAGGAAGCCTTGCTGTAGCACGACCCCTTTGTATGTAGGTATTATTAGGTACCCAAAGCGACATCAGATGCTGCGAAGCCCTGAAATACTGAGCGGGCAGGCATCTAGGAAGCGCACAAGGACGAACAGTGTGGTGCCTAGCTACGTCGAGACTCCCATCTATTCTGCCGACCTCAGCTAACATTCTGGATGCCTACCAAGCATTGGGACACAATTGCTGGGAGATGTTTGTGACTGTTGCTGCTACAGCACTTCCGGCCAAAAAAAGCACACTGCTACAGCTCTTCCGGCCAAAGAAATTCTCGTATCCATTGAAGTAAGATCAAAAGTAGGACGTAGGACCGAGCACGTGTAGGAGAGTCCTGGGCCCAAAGCAGTAGTGGACGTCCAATCCTCGTGCTCAGCCAGGAACCTTGGACACTCAGCAGGCCTATTGATTTGACAAGATGGACGAAAGAAAGCTTCTCCATGCTGTTGAAACCTTCTTCAAAAGGACCACTAGAACCAGGATCCAGACTCCATCAGGGACCAGCATGTGGTGGAAAGCACTTGCCCATTTATCCGTCCGCGGAAGCGCTCCTACATGGCACCCCATCGCCCATTCGAGCCTACGAGTACAAGCAGTTGAATGGGTGAGTGCGGAGCGGTCCCAGAGGAAGAGAGGTGCCCCCGGATTCAGGGTGTTGTCGGCCACAAGCTGTGCCTTCCAGTATGCCGCATCATGAAATACACATCTCTGCTCGAATACACTCAGCCTCAAAGGATAAAGCTGATCTTCCCTCGAGAAAAGCATTGGGACACTTCCATCCTCGGCACTCAAGATCTGGTGTCCCAGGAGATGATTCAAGTCCTGCACAAGCTGCTGCAGGCGCTATGGCTCTCAATGCCCAAAATCACCTTGATAAACCTTGATAATGCCATCTTGCATGCGGGAACATCGAGCATGGTCCTGGTGAAAAATCGTCCCACGGTGGTCCATGAAGCAGAGCCCTGCCAAGACGCGTAGCTTCTGCAGCTGCTGACGCCGGCGCACACTGCACACGTGCCGGGGCGATTGCATGCGCAGGTCAAAGCCGCTTAAGCACTTGAATGGCCAACCAAAGCTTACCCAAATCCGAGGGGAGGCCCCCGACACAACACTCTCAACACCCAAAGTAGATTCCCTGAAATACCCGAAAAACGCTGAACGGGAAAGACCGTAAACCTCAATACCCTAAAACCATCTGATACCTCAGCATTCTAAACACTAAATACTCGAAGACCTCAAGACCCTCAACACCCTAGAAGTCTGAATGCGCTAAACCCTCGATACCCTAAGGCCCTGAAGACAACCCTCCATACCCTAAAACCCTCAATAAACTACTACACCCTCGATTCCTGTGAACCGTTCAACATTGACCCCCCGCCCCCCATCCTATGACAGAATTAATAGCTCGCAGCTTTCCTGACCTCATCCGACCCTACCTGCTGAATCAAGACTGCACTCAAACCTGGCTCCACTGGCTTTTGTGATGCGCAGGAACATCTAGGGGCAACATGGGGCAACAAAAGGACAGCAAGCGCAAGCAAGGGCAGCCTGTGCAGTGGAATCCCAGCTCTTCAACCAGCTGGGGCACCACATCCTGGAATAGAATGTGTCATACGCGCAAGGCCTCGACCGCCTTCAAGGATCCCCGCAGGCTGTGCCCACTGCTGGTTTGCGATACTGGCCGGCAACACCCGTTAAATTTCGCATATACCGTCTTGAGATTCAAACACAAGCAACAAGCATGACCTCAATGCAGATGCCCCCGCATAGTTGGGCCCCGACCTTGACTTGACCCGGTCGGACCTTACATGCTCGGCAAGGCAGAAGGCCTGCAAAATCAATTAACTAATACCTTGGCTTGCCCGAGCACTTGGGAGGCAGACCTCTGCAACCCGAGTGAGGCCTGCCATGTCCAACAAGAAGCGGGCCACAGAGACGTGCAGAGGATTGACCTGTGCGAGCTGTGTGTGAGCATCATCCATCTTTGGCCTGACTGTACAGCTTTTCAGCTTTTCGTTGGGTTTGACCAGTAACATCTGGCGAAGCGAACAGGGGGCAACGACGGCTCGGGGAGATGGCAGGAGGCTGGAGTGTGCAAAAGGAGGACTTGCGTGCAGCGCGTTACTCAATGTGCTTGCAGGGTGGCAGCCATATTCAACTTCTCAACAAGTTCCGAGTGAGTACAGAATCTTGCAAATTTTGGCCAGCCTCGACAGAGACAAGGCACAAAGGGCACAAAGCATCATGGACCAGGCGCCTGGTCAGCATAGACATTTTGAAAGTCTCTTTCGGATGGCGTTCAAGGAACAAGCCCATCGAGACTGCATGGTATATGGTATAGACTCCGCAGGCTTGCCTTCGCATCTCGTTGCTGAATCGGACGGCAGAATAGCCCACGAAGGCCCCAAGCTCCGTCACAACCTGAAGCTGCACTGGATCGGCCCCACCCTACCGCTCTTCCTCTGCATAATGTTGCAGAATCTTCTTGCCCTGACCGCCGGCACCTGTTGACAGCACGTGTGGCCGCAACAACCTCACCCAAGACAACAAACAGTTATTCTGGCCCGCCCGCAAGCACAGCCGGATATTAGGCTTGTTTTGCGGGAGGGTACACAAGCTCAAAAGAATTGCAACGGGGGGCAAAACAGCTGAATGTTTTGATATGTTTGGACGTTTCCTCGTTGTTGAAGACATCAGTCGTCATGGAAAGTGATCGCTGACATTCAGCAAGGCCCACAACCGGCGGCACGGATGTTGATGAAGCCTTAAGCCTGAGCCCTTGAGGTTTGAGAAGAATCTCAATCCACGCGGATCTTGGGTACATTTGCTGGCCACATGACGGCACATGCGTCCGCTCCACCAATCACCCCGCCACGAGCTTGCATATTTCACAAGCCTAGTAGGGCAAGAATCATCTTGTCCAGTCTTGCTCCTGGTGGCAACTGGTCTGAGACCTTTCGTTGCAAAACATGCAGTGCTTTCAGCACAGGACTCAAGGAGGATAGTGATCCACTCAGCGCTTCCCATGATGCCCCGATATCAGATTCAGAACTGAGCGGTGGTGACCACCTGCCATGATCCCGAGCTTGCACCACCGCAAAGAGGAGAGGCACAGTTCATGCAAGTTCACACATGCATCGGAAGTTGCATCGTGCAGCAGAGAGGCGGCACAGCTCCGCAAGATCCCAACGATACTCAGGAATTGCCTGAGGCTTCGCTGCAGCTTTGCTTGTTCCATCCTTCCCTTCACAAAGACTGTGACAACACTGAAGTTCATCAGCTGGCGTCGATTTCTTGCTTCAAGAGAAAGCCTTTCGCACTGATGCATCAAGGTTGCAGTTTGAAAGTGCGTCAAGTACCTCAGCTCAGGAAGTCCCTCAACCGATCTCAACCGTTTCTAGAAACCGACTTGAAGGAGTCCCGTCAGGTAGTCGACCCTATGATAACCGAGTCAAGGAATGAGTTGTGACACTGCGGGCTCAACCTGGGGACTGGTGGGCGCTGTCGCTTTTGTGTTCGGATAGGTAGATAGGTAGATTTTGCAATCACAGCGGTCTGAGCAGAACGCTGGGTCGGGGAAGCCGTTGTGATGACTACTATCGCAAGTTCGCAACCTTGTCCACATGAAAGTCGAACCCATTAATGCCTGCTTTCCTGTACCTCAGCAAGAACTTCTGAACACTATCGGAACATATCAAAGCACTCTCCCACAATGAGCTAAAAAGCGCTGAGGTTTGCAAGCCCAAGTCGCAGGAAAGCCAAGGCAAAGCAGCCCACGACAGTGACAGCAGTCCTTGGATGTAGGACAGGCGGCACTATGTGGTTGGTGGAAGTACGGAACAAAGCCTGCAGACAAGGTGCTCAACGGCACCGGCCTTCGAAGGTCCCGCCGGCAGTGGGGCCATCGGAAGCTTCGTCCGCTCCAGGCAAGCCTGCCAGAATCGCAATACGTGCTCGCACTTATGAGCGGCAGCACGACACAACTAGGGTGCTAACGTCAAGAACTTCAGCAGGTTTACATCTCCAAGACCACTGGCAACTCGTGTCGAAAGCATCCCAACCATGCTGAGTTCAAGGGTCAACAACCAGTTATTCGATGCTCACCAGGTCAAGAACCGATGAGAGAAATCCTCGAAACCCGAATCCCCACCCCAATAACCGAAACCCAGTTGGCGCAACAAAAGAGAAGAAAAAGAAAACTACGCCTTGATGTTCTCGGAGGTGCAAGTGCGAAAGATCAGCTCGTCTAGCCTCAACATCTCGGACACAGTGCAAACAATGGCGAACCGATTACGCGGCTATCAAGCACTCTTGCAATCCCTTGTGACCACAAAATTCAGCACGTGTTGTGGTTGAGCCCAGCGGCTCACAGATGAACGTCAGGGCCAAAGAGTTCAACATTAAGTTGTCCACCCCCGGCGTGGCTGTCAGCCAGCGTGCACCTGCCAGCCCAAGTCTCACACATCAGCAGCCCCAAATGGACTTAAGTCCAAGCACAGCTGGCCTACGTACCAGAGGACGATCGCAATGATGAACTTGGGCAGAAATACGATGAATGCTATCCAGAACTTGAGCATTCCATTCCTTGAGCTGGCTTGCGAAAATTCACTTGCAATAGCAGATGCCGGTGTGCAGTGAGGCAAAGCCCCTCCGAATCCCAGGCGCATGTGCGTGATCACAAATTGACTTTGGTCTTGATGGTCAAGAATGTACCTCGTTTGATGACTTGTCTGCATATATATATATATATATATATATATATTTGTTTATTTATTTATATTTATTTATTTATAGACACAGACGCGCACACACACACACACACAGAGACAGAGAGACAGAGACGCAGACACAGAGACAGAGCAGGGTTTGCAGCTGGGCTGCACCCATCCTTCAGCTGGCCGCTGAAGCCGGATGGTGTGCCAGAAGAAGTAAACCTGAGCAGCAGATGCTGGCCTCGCGACTGTCTGCGCCAATGGATTACTCGAAGTGGTTGCTGGCTTCTGTCTAGAATCGGTCTGCTTCAGCTCATGTCCCAAGAAGAAGGTCCAAATCAGAATCACCTTGGGTGACCGGCATGCTGAGTACTCTTGGGTGCCGCTGGCTTTCCAAAATATCAAAGAGCTCGACGTGCAGCAAAGGCACCATGAAGAAAAACGTTGGGTTCGTCAGAGGAAACTGGCAAAGCTCTGCTTTGGCAGTGCCATCCCAGGATTGAAACAGGGTGCTCACATCCTCGCCTCAGATCAGAAAGGGAGCACGAAAGGAGACGGTGATAGCATGCAAAAGCTCCTGCTCAGCCTCCAAAAACCGCACAGAGCAAGACCAGCGGCTTGAAGCCATGAGGTCCTCCCCATAGCAGCGGTCCGTGAAGCGGTCATAGAGGTCTCGTGCGTGCTCCATGGCCGGGAAAGCCTCGGCTTGGCTAGTTGGCGAGCCTCTCTGCAGTGGGTAACATGCCTAAGTCTTCAGGTGTCAATCAAGGTTTCAGGGCTCACGTTGGGTTTACGGTAGGCTTTAAGGGAATGCAAGGTCGTCTACACTCATGGAGGTTCGGCGGTTTGGGATGTCGGAGGCTCTTGACTCTAAATCCGGCCACGGTCGTGTTCCATCTGGGGCTTAGGGGGCCGAACCACCTTCCATTCCAACATGGGTCTCCTGAACCCTCCCCGCCCCTCCCGAGAAGGTATGAGCCACGGTGGGGAAAAAATTCTAGGGGGAATCCAGATCGTGCATGCTCCAACCCCCTTTTGTTTCTCCTCGCGATCATTCCGATGGCATTGAGGGGGGGGGAACGGGACATACCCGCCCCTAGCTTGATTTTCTGGGCGCGGTGAGCATCATGAGCATCAGTGGCTCGTGGACGGGCCCGAGATTTCGGGGCCATGTGTTGCTCGCGTTTTCGACGTTCGGTCGATATGATGAGCATCAACGACATCTATGGCTCGATGACGCCGAATGCCTCCCAGGGCGCATCATGGACCCTGCTTTGGCATCGTGGGCGCGCATCAGCATGCATCAGCAGCACAACCATCATGTCACCGTGGGCGCGCACCCAGAAAATACCATCGCAGCATCTGCTACCCCAGCTGGCGACCCGTTAGATTATGTGGGGTACCAAGCAAAAACTGGGTGTGATGGATGAATGCCCCAGCTCTAGGGTCTTCTGCAAGGCCTACAACTAGTTCCGGCACAAGTGCAAACTGACCTGACTTGCGCTGCCCTGTCACTATGAGGAACTCAATCTCAAATAGCAGGAACATCTGCAGAAAAACCTCGGATGGAGTATTCGTGTCTTCGCAACATCATGCATACTAGCACACGGGTATCGCACACTAGGGCTCCTGCATTCCCCACCTGCAGCCCCAAGAACAGAACCAGATTGAGAAAAACGGTAGAATCCTGCCCTTCGCCACCACAACCTGGCCATCGGCACGCACATGTACAAAGATCTAGGTACAAATACCTAAGCTACAGCTGTCAGCGCGAAAACACTGTCGCTGGGGACTTGGCTCGTGCAGGCCAGGCAAGAATACTGTATTGTGAGATCCTCAGGGCAGTTCCACTGTCATAGCCCAACCCAGTTGGACTGGTCTGTCAAACTTGCCAAGCGTCTTTGAAATTGGCTGAGACATATGCGGCTGTGGCACGTAGATGCTGGCATTGAAGCTCAGCACCTCATTCAGCTCGCGCTCGTCATACCCAGGGGACTCAATTCGCACAAGACCTGTCATCGAGCAGGTTGTGACTGAACAGCAAGGGCCTTTGATCAGAAGCCACTTCAACGGACACACTCCAAAGCACCCCATGTACCGTTCCTCCCAAGCTTCAAAGAAAGCCTTGAACTTGGAAGCCAAGTCTCCCGACTCACCCCGAACTCCCCCGAACTCCTTTGGGGAACATTTTTCGGAGCCCTTCATATGCCTGGATCCACCTCGGCCAGCGGCGAGGACAGCAAGTCTCTTTGCCTGAGATGCCGATGAAATGATGGCAGCACTTGCACCCCTGTGCCAGTACGTGAGGCCAAAGAGTAGCAGCCATCTCGTCATCATGGGCTTAGAGACACACGTCCGCCCCGAAACTCCTGCTTTGAAGCACGTACAACCATTGGGAGATGTGGGGGCGCATGCATTCAGAGAAACCGCACATTGACATGACATCGCCCGCACAACAGTCCTGAACCGACTCTACTCCCTTCTCCTCTACTTATCTACTTGCAGCCTGGCATCTTTGAGGCTCTTGTCGGCGTCGTTGCTTGGCTCTCCCCAAGCGCGACGAGATCTGCCTCGTTGTCCCCCGAGATGGATCGGATCCTCTCAATCGTCGCGTACAGATCTTCGCACAGCTAGTGCGCTGAGTGCGTGAAGCAACATAAGACAATCGAGAAATGAACATACGACGTGGTGACAAGCCTGTTGGCAAGCATGCCAGTGTCCTGGGTCTCAATCCCTGCATCGGCATGCTATCTACGCTCAGAACCCACCACCTACCATGCCATGTGTGTTCTCTGTGTGTGTTTGAAACCGTGTGTGCACCGTTGCCATAACAGAAACCTAACTCATCTAACAGACTAAAAAAGAGCAGAGCGTGCATTGTCAACTTCAGACACCTTGATAACTAGCGGACCATGCCGGTGGCACGATGGATTTCACATCTCAGCCTCCATGCAAGCGGAAACAGCAGCGGCAATGTCATATTGAATCTGGGATTTGATGCCAAGCGTTCGATCGCAAAGCAACAAAACAACAAGCTCGAGGAATCTGGCGCCGAACCATGCATTTGGCTTTGCAAGCCCAGTGCTTCACTGCTTGCTCAGACTGCAGCTGCTTAGACTGCAGCTCGTTCTTCCTCCCTTCCTTCCTCCCCTCCTTCCTCCCCTCCTTTCTCCCTTCCTTCTTCCCCTCCTTCCTCCCTTCCTTCCTCCCTTCCTTCCTCCCTTCCTTCCTCCCGTCCTTCCTCCCTTCCTTCCTCTGTTCCTCCCCCCCTTCCTTCCTCCCTCCCATCCCCCCCCCTTCCTTCCTCCCTCCCTTCCTTCCTCCCTCCCTTCCTTCCTGCCAGCCCCCGTGTTCGGTTCGTCTGCTCGGAGCAACTTCGTCTTCTCATACTTTCTCTGTCCCCACACAACTTATGCCAAAGGGGTCCTTTCTTGCTTTACGTTGCTCTGACCTTCTCACTTCAATCCAAGGGTTTAGGCACAACAAAGCCCTTCCCCCTTCCTCAGTCTTTCTTCTTTTTCTGTTCTTTCATGCTTTCGGCTTCAGGGCCGAACCCCCACGCACCAGGCGCACTCCCGAGGAGAATCCATACCCAGGAGAGGGGTCGCAAGGCAGAACCACCCCCAAAAGATCAACCCCTGACCAGCGGCCAAGCCAGCTTCCCATCTCTGCCCCCCAAACAGAAGCTACACATGGGAGCCGTTCATAGCGTCACCTCATCGGATCCCCAACTCACCTAAACCCCATGCTACGGCATCAAGCCCCCTGAACCCCTCACCAAACCTCCCTCTAGCTCGCACTTGGCACATCCTACAGGCCGCCCCAATGATCGCTCTCCCTCTCACTCCGCGTCTTCTGGTACTCAGCTTAGAACCCTGAACCTCTCTCTTTCGTCCGTGGGCTTTGGGCAGGCATGGGCCTGGCCACTCCGCAAGCGCTGCAGTGCCGCGTTTAGCAGGTCGCCCTTACAGGTGAGGGGCTCCGATTCCACTAAGGTATATTATATGGCTCATACGCACAATACGCCAGATATCATACTGCCAGAAGTCAGCCTTGTCTCCGCCTGCCACCTTGAGCCATTGCCCTTTGTACTTGGCAAAGTCTTCACCTTGACACAAACAGACAATCCCGCGAAACGGATGCACAGGGCTCGTAGCAGAGCTGCGAGCTTGGAGCCGTGTGGCTGGTCACTCGGAGTGCCAAACGTGCGATTGTTCCAAACTAAAACCCATTGGGGACAACTCCCCAGACAACTCCCCCCCCCGTCATGCCTCATGTGCTCCAACTGAAACACAGAGAGAGAGAGAGAGAGAGAGAGACTCGCAGCGCGCATCGTGTGTCAACACCAACTCTGACTCTGCCGCTCGAGTGCCGTCTAGACACACGCAGCTAGGACACCCTCTGGACTGTCAAGCGCGGACGCCTCAACAGATTCGCTTTGGGGAGATTCTACAAATTCAAAACGTCCAAGGAGCATCAGCATGATACAGTGATACAGCAGCCCCCAGCAGAGAGCAAGATGGTGCCTCCAAGAAGTCCACGAGCTTCGCGACTTTCTGGTACCTCTGGCTTAAATCAGCACGATGCTAACACCTGCTAACATAGCGTCGCAGGCATGGCCTGTCCCTCTGAGCTCGATGCGCCGGATGCAGTGCTCGCCGCACAGGTACCGGCCCACCAAGAAGTGCTACTTCCATCTGCAAAGGCTAGCAAAGTGTGGCTGATTATGAACGGCAATGAGTGGCTGCTGCTACGGCAATACGGCGGTTGAGGTGAGCATTGCTATGGCTATATAGAGCTACAGCAGTGCTACTACAGCAGCGAGTGCTGCTCTGGCAGTGCTACGGCAGTGCTACAACAGTGCTACACAACAGTGCTACAGCAGTGCTACGGCAGGCACCTGCAGACAGCGAAGCGGAAACCACGAGCAGAGACTACGCCGGACAGAAGCCTCTCGCTCGGCCTCCTAGGCAACGGTGCTCCACGGTATTCCACGGGAACTAACTTTCAACCATCTCCACTCTACATTCGTTTCACAGGTCCTTGCACCAGGTGCTGTCCATTTGGAAGAGCCCATACGGCTCAACTTGTTGGAACGAACCCTGCAGCAAGAGACCAAACTTCAGTGTCTCAGAAGCATCTCGACGACTGCATCTCGTAACATCTGGCATACTTCTGTTAAACTCTGCTCTACTTCGATAAGTTCCCGGCCCTGACTTACACAGAGCCTCTCATGGTTAGCTCTTTCACGGCCTCGGCCCAGTACTCAAAGAGATGCCAAAGTCCCTGGCGAAAGCCAGCCTGGTGACCACCAACTTGAACCATACACTGACAAAATCTGACAAAGCCTGCACGAGGCGCGCCTTCCACATGGTCCAAACAAGCATCGGGGCCTCGCGGAAGGCCATGCAAACCAATTCGGACTGCACAGTGAGTCGTACTAGCATGACTGATACACTGCAAACCCTGAGCGGAGCACGCTGGGGTCATCAGAAAATGCATCCTGGCGATCAGCCACCTGCAGGTTTAGTCAGCTCGTCCAGCGCGCGAAATCAAGCGAAGGCCACAACACTCCACTCACCCACTCCTTTCAGTGTTTGGCTCTTGCCACCCCTCCGTGCTTGTTGGTTTTCGTGGTTCTCCACTGAGGCTTCCCACTGTTTCAGATCTGCCGCTCCTCTAGCCCTGGGACGCTTCCCCGGTTCCCACCTCTTCGGGTTTTTTAGGGTTCTTGGGCTTTCTTGCCATTATCACAGCCAAATATTATTGCGAAAGGCAAGAACATGACAACACTCAGATGAGGGAGAGCGTGACTACTAGGCATGTAACTCAGCAAACTGCCCTCAGCCACCGCAGCGTTGACAAGTTGGCCGGCTAATCTGATTTGTTGGGGCGGGAGGGTCGCCACCGCGTCGAGCGGCGATAGATCTTTTTTGGTCAAGGAAGTTGGCGCTCGAGTGGTCTACCATCGAATCTTCGTCGGAATGTTGGCCGATCGTTCGAGACTCGTCGAATTGTTTATGTCACTTCTCTTCTTCAGCTGCGCTATTTCCGCCTTCCTTCATTTAGTTCGCGGCCTGCAACTGTTTGTTTCCATGTGTCTTTCTGTTGGTCGCATTGCCTAGGTAGTAGGACTTGCGAGAAGCCAAGAAGCCAGGCCCAAAGCCAAGAGAACTTCGAACCACTCTCCGGAATTGGGACACTCCGCGGGATTCTTGGGTGGGATTGTCTGAGGGATTCTCTTTCCCCAGTTCTCCGGCCGCGGGCGCTCCAGCTTTGGCTGTGAACGCTCCAGGGATACTCTGCAAAATGCTCTGCGAAATTCTCTGCGACTCTCTGGAGGTCACCTTCAGGTTTACTCTGATTCTGTGCGGGATTTTGGAGGTGTGCGGAGTCTGTGGGATGACTGAGCACTCCCGGGATACTCTGCGGGATTCTCTGGAGTCTTACTTTGCGTCTCCAGGTGAGCACTGTGGTACTTGGTGGGATGTTCTGGTCTTCTGGCGTGGCAGACCCGGCAAGAAGTACGTACCTGAGTTATGAAAGAGAGGGAGAGACACAGAGTGAGAGGGAGAGAGAGAGAGTGAGAGTGAGGGTGAGGGGGAGGGAGAGGGGGAGAGGCAGAGGGAGAGGGCGCGAGGGTGCGAGGGTGCGAGGGTGCGAGGGTGCGAGGGTGCGAGGGTGCGAGGGTGCGAGGGTGCGAGGGTGCGAGGGTGCGAGGGTGCGAGGGTGCGAGGGTGCGAGGGTGCGAGGGTGTGAGGGTGTGAGGGTGAGGGTGACGGTGAGGGGGAGAGTGAGAGTGAGAGATTGAGAGAAAGAGAAAGAGAGTGTGTGTGTGTGTGCGCACGAACATAGAACTGAGATAACAAAAACCAAGAACTGCCATGAAACCGAAAGCTGGGATGGTATGAAGCTGTTCAGAGCTGTTTCCGAACGCTAGTGTTGCCACATGCTCATCTTCCCAGCTCCATCTGCTGAGAACCGTGCTTACTGTATTGCAGATTCAAGTGCTGCTTGTCAACAGCGTTTTGTCTCTCGAAGCTGCTAAACAAAAAGGCAAGAACTATCCCGACAAAAGCGCCGCTGGAGCGCTCAACAAACGTTCATCAAACATCTCAACCAACTTGTCCACCTCTTCACCAGCAGAGCTTGTCACCTCTGGCGTGCAGAACATGTGCTGGCTGAGCTGCTGAACACACTTTTCATGCGTGCTGCTGGCCTTCTCCCGCAACACCGACAAGGTCCCTAACTCCCGTGGTATGTTCGTCGTGTCCTCGCAGCTTCTCACAAAAACAACGTCACAACATGCACACTGGCCTGTGGCCCTTTGGCCTGTGGCCCTGGGTCGACAGGTCTGAACTCTAAGTTCACGGAGAAGCACATTCAAGTCTATTGGGTGTGGAAGATTCGAAAGCATCGCTCAAGGCAGCGTGCACTCAGCGTACACTGCCAGATGCTTCTTCTTGGTTGAATTCTGAACCCCTCCTAAAGTTTAACTTTTAGCCTCCTTATTGTGGTCTTTGCAAAAACCCAAAGTTAAAGTCCTAAGAGCTAGCTAGAAGACAACAAGTCTTTATGCTCGCAGTGCAAGCAAAGTCGAGAGGCTCCTGAACGCTCGGTGCTCGGAGCTTGTGGCTCGTGGCAGCACCGATCGAGTCCATCAGCACCTGCAACAGAGCAGTCTCTTACAACCCTAGAGGGATTTCTTCCGCATGACATGCTAGGACCGACAGCTCACACTGGCCTCATGCAAGAACGCAGTCCTGCCAAGCCACCATGCCGCATTTGCCAACTCCTCTCAACAAGCACCGATCAAAAAACGACAGGCGCAAGAGCAGCGAGCGAGAGCGTGCTCACGGAAAGCTGAACGCCGAAGACGAAGCCTGTGCCCCAAGCTCCGCATCGCTGCCAAGCGATCGCTGTCCCATCGCAAGCCAGAAAGGCGCAGCCCCCAAACTGAGCTTGCGGGAGAGAGCATCCTCCTTGAGTATGACGATCGTACGAGGATCCAGCATCCGAGCTTCGGGCTGTGTCTTGCCGAATGCCTGAACCCTGTTCGCCAGATTCTGTGTGTCCAGTCCTTTCGAAAAAGAAGAATCATTTCGGCGGCAGCGTGCTGGCAGCAGATCTTCTGCCTTGCACTCTGCCGATCCAAGCTTTCGCAACGGCGTCCATCAGCCTGGAAAGTACGAGGAAGGCGGAGTACAGGCAGAGAAGAAGGCAGAGGCCAACAGAGGGAGGAAATCGTGCAGCTGATCGTCCATTCTGGCCTCTCGTCTACGAAGCCCAGAATGGTCGCGGCCTGTCCAGCATTCGACCTCAACACTGGAAGAACTGCATTGTCTCTGAAGGAAGACAATGGCATCCCAGAATTGTACAGCATCGTACTTGGGCGTGCGACTCGCTCTGTCTTAGATCTGGGCAGATGCTGCGGGCTGAGAAATTCAATTCTCCTCCAGGTTCAACATTATCCCTGCTGGCTGGCTTGGGCAGGGCTTCAGGGTAGTGAGAAGCAACGGCGCTAGAAAGTCCGTAGCTCAAGCCTCTGCACACAGGACCTCAGCACCCTGATTGGCGATTCCTGCGACAGATGTGCACGTTGCTCAGCACGAGGGTGCGGAATCATCTTGGGGGCGAGCTGTGCATTCTTGTTTTGACTCACGCGGTTGTTAGCGGCCCTGGGTAAAGCGCTAGTTTCGGCCACTTCTTGGTGACTTCTTGCGGTTTTCTTGTTGGGTGTTGGGGGGGGCTAAGAACGTCATTCATATTGCATCCATGCCCAAAACACTAGTATTTACAGCGTTTTCGCCTCTTTGTACAACATACTGCACAAGGATGTGGAACAAGAAAATCTGCCAGCGGAGAACAGGGGAAGGCTATGCTCGCAGTTTGCGCAGAGTTTACGCGAAAAACACAATATTTTTTTCAGAGCGCCTCTCACTTCGACTTCAGTGATGCGGGACCTGCTTCGTCAGAACAAATTCTTTGTGGTTCCGTCAACGCACACTGCAGCCGAGAGGCTTGGGTTCTCAGGGCGCGGCAGTAGCGTCTGGAACAAGCAGCCCCCCCCTTGGATAGAGGGCGCCTCCAGGCGTCATCTCCACATACTGCTCTGGGCCGGCCCGGCTGCCGAGGCGGCGTGCGCAAGCGTTTACAAGTATGCACAGTTTCTAGGCTCTGGAACTCGTAGAGCTCTGATGTTGCTCGGCTTGTTTTGGCGCAAGGCGCAGAGTTGCACGCAAAGCAGTGTGGGTTGGTTGTATGCATGGCTAAAGGCAAGGTAATCGGCCTTGTCTGTGGCGATCACGATGAAGTTGGGGGGGCAATGTCGGCAACCGAGAGTAAGCTCAGCTGTCGGCTAGCATGTCTTTCTCGGGGCATTGGGCGGAGATCAGTGGCGTGGGCCTCTCAGAGAGAGCCCGTGCAGGCAAGTGCAGGGGAACAGGCAGATAAGGGCTGTTTCTGGCAGCGTAGGCTGGGCTGCGAGAAATTTGTCGATAGTCGGCTGAGTTGGCTAAGGCACATCTGCCTCAAAGGGAGATGCCGGCAGACAGGCAGCTTGGGCGGATGGGCTATCTCCGAACTGTGCGTTTCAGGCGAGGCTTTCGGGGCTTCCGCTTATGAGCAGGAAGAAGGCATAGGCGTAGGCAGCTTCTCACCTCTAGAGCAGGTGAGGGCACAAGGCTGCTCCCAGGCAGAAGGCCACACTGTCAGTTCTTCATCGTTGGAGCTCTGGAGCGTGAGGCCGTAGGCTGAGCAGTGTCGCTGGAGGGTTCAGGGGCACACGGAGAAGGCTGTGCTAGGCTTCGGTGCCATTGCTTTCTTGCAAGGCCGAGGCGGCTGATTTCTGCTTCGGCAGGGATCTTGTAGGCGAAGAAGTCCGAGGCCAAGGCGTCCAGGTCTTCCTGAACAGGAAGTCTTGCGTGGGTGCATTGGAGCTATTTGAGGCTACTGGCTATCTCGAGGGCCTGGCGCGGCCAGGGCAGGGCTTCACGTACGGCTTTGACGTGCGCCTGGGCATAACGAAAGCGGCGACCTACCGTAAGGCAAGGCAGCCAATACATCGCAGCCTGTCGAGAAAAGGTGGTGGGCTCGGCTGAGGAGCCGGCTCGGCACAACCCGGCAAGAGCTCCCCGAAAGACCACCCGCACGGGCTTGCTCGGCCAGAGCTGTTACGAGGTGTAGTGCTCGCTCGCTCACGAAGGTCCATGTTCCGCGCGGAGAGGATGGGAGGACTAGGCGAACCGCAGACGCTGCTGATGCTCCGCCAAAAAAAGTGTTGAGGGCCCAGGATGGCAGGATAAACATGCAGATGGAGGCGCAGTAGAATGCAAGTGGGCACGTGCATGGGCCAAAAAAGTTGGATGCGCTCCTTTTCCAGATACCC